TTACCACATCTAGTGTAGCAGCAGAAATCTCTCACATAGTTGGAAAGTCTCTGTATAACCGTCACAATTTAAAACAATTAGGTTCAGGGGCTGAAAGATGACTCAGTGATTAAGAACACTGGCTGTTCTTGCAAAAGACCTGGGTTCAAATCCCAGCACCCACATGGCAGCTAACAACTGTTAGGGTTCAGATCTACAGCAACCCCCTCCCCAGTACAACAGGGCCTCAGGGTTTTACAGGACCTCTGAGAATACAGGAACTGAGTTAATGAGCACTCTGACCATGTGCAGACAAGATTAACAGACTCTCTACACCTTTGACCCAAGACCCAATTACTGCAAAGAGCCGTTTCAGCACAGCCTGCTTCCCCTTTGATAATCTTAGAAGACAAGACAGGCCCCTGTACCCCAGACTCACAGATGTAGGAACTGTCTCAGTACAAGCTACTTCCCCCTGTTAAGTTTCACAATGTACAGAACTCTTATCCCATGACCCAGATCCTGGCTGATGGAAGGGGAGTGAAGTAGGCGGTTTGACAGAGGTTGTTCTCTCCTGATAAGCCCACCTAATTTGTTTTTTAAAAAAAAAAAAATGTTCCTGCCTTCCTCATCCCCCCCAAACCCCCTATTTAAGCCCTCAGCCTGCAGCCTGTAAATGGACAGCACCTCCATCCCAAACTGGGGACTGTCCTGTGCATTTTCCCTGCCAATAAACTCTATCCCACCAGAGTTCTTGTCTATGTCCCAATTTTCCTTGATTTACCTATCAACAACTGTCCATAACTCCAGTTTCAGAGGATCTGACAGCCTCTTCTGTCATCCAAGGGCACTGCACAACACAGGTGCACTTACACACATATGGGCAATACTCACACATAAAATAAAAATAATAAATAAAATTAAATTTTACAAAAGGACCACAATGGAAATTTCAAAATGAAACAAAGAGAAAAAAAAAGAGAAAAAGGCCAAGAAATCATGAGGGAATTACAGAACTAAAACAAGAAGGCAAATACAGCTGCTCCTCAACCTATTGAGAAACATCCAAATACACCCACTAAAATTTAAAATGTCCCAAGTTGAGATGGAACATAGCTCAGTGGCATAAAGTTCACTTAGTATATGCAAGATCCAGCAAAGGGAGAGGAGCAGAAGAAGTACCCTAAGTCAAAAACATATGCGATAGCAAGGTATGGTTACAGACACCTGTATTCCGGCACTCAGGTGGCAGAGGTAGGAGTATCATGAGTTCAAGGCCACTCTGGGCTAAAGAGTGAGTTCACAACAGCCTGGGCAACACAGCAACATAGCAAGACCATCTCAAAACCACAAATGCATTTAATAGACCCATCAGAAGTTAGCAATAAAGTACACTACAGAGCATCCATGTTCTATGAGCCCAGAAATAAACCCACACAGCTACAGGCATCTAATCCTGAACAAGAATGTTAAAGGGAAGAAGAGAAAAAAAGCCTGATAATGGAAAAAAAGAAAGCCTCTTCAACAAATAGCATTGGAGAAACTGGATAGTCACAAGAATGAAATTAAATCTCTCTCTCTCTCATGCTGGACAAGCTTCTGCACAGCAAGAAAGGAATCACCATAGTGAAAACACAGCCTACAGGATGGGAGAGAAATCTGTGCCAACTATATATGTGACTAAAGATTAACATAGAGACTTAAGAGATAACCCCCCAAAAAATTATCCAATAAGTGGAAAAATTAATTGAACAGGTAGTTCTCAAAAGAAATACAAACATACAAAACATATATGGAAAAATGTTCAACATCCCCAGCCATCATGGAAGTGCAAATTTAAACTGCTTTGCGATTCCATCTCATCCCAGTTGGATTGGCCATCAGCAAGAAAACAAATGACAGTAAATGCAGGTGAGGATATGGGACAAAAGGAACCCATATACACTACAGGTGGGAACGTAAACTTGTAGAGTCATTACACAGGTTCCTCAAAAACAAAAAAAAAGAAAAAAAAAATACAGCTGGGCATGATGGCGCACAGTTTTAATATCAGTATCCCAGAGACAGAGATAGGGGAATCTCCGTGAGTTTAAAGCCACTGTGGTCTATATAGCAAGGTCCAGCCCAGCTAGGGCTACATAGTGAAATCCTGTCTTTTAATATCAGCATCCCAGAGACAGATGTAGGGGAATCTCTGTGAGTTTAAAGCCACTGCAGTCTATATAGCAAGGTCCAGACCTTGTAGCTAGGGCTACATAGTGAAACCTTGTCTTTAAAAAAACAACAACAACAACAACAACTGGGGCTGGAGAGATGGCTCAGCAGTTAAGAGCACTGACTGCTCTTCCAGAGGACCCAGGTTCGAATCCCAGCACCCACATGGTGGCTACTAACCGCCCTTAACTCCAGTTTCAGGGGAATCCAAAGCCCTCTTCTGACCGCCACAGCATTGCACAACACAGGTGCACTCACATATATGAAGGCAACACACTCATACACATAAAATAAAAATAAATAAGTAAATAAATTAAATGAAAAAAAAAAAAACTACCACACAATCCAACCATACAATTCCTACAGATTCACCCAAAGGAATCTAAGGCAGCAAACCAAAAATATAGTTGCATATCCATGCTTATTGCACCATTATTCACAAATAGCCAAGATATGTAACTAGCATAGAAGTCCATCAACAGACAGATTTTTTTTAATGGGGTATATAAACTCAATGGAGTTTTATTCATTCACAAAGAATTAAACTATATCATTTAGGAGAAAATGGATAGAACTGGAGATCATTATATTAGTGAAATTAAGCCAGACACAAGAAGACAAATAGCATGCTTTCTCTCATATACAGAATCAAAAAGGAAAAACAAGCCTCAGTCTAGACAGCCTCAAATTTTTTGGTGAAGTTTTATTTCCCAACTTAGGTGGCAACAAACTTGTATTTACCATATTTGTAATATGGTTTTCATCATATTATTTATAATATTTTAAAGAAAATACAAGTTAAATTTCTTTTTTTCTTTTTTTTTTTTTTTTTTTTTTTGGTCTTTTTGAGACAGGGTCTCCCTGTAGCCCCAGCTGTCCTAGAACTCACTATGTAGACCAGGCTGGCCTTGAACTCACACAGATCCGCCTGCCTCTGCCTCCCGAGTGCTGGGATTAAAGGCACGCACCACTGCACCCAGCTCATTTTTAAGTCTAAAATGTAGAGATCTATAGCTATAAACGCACGAGATCATCATGAGGGTAGTGTTCCCATGACAGAATTACTGTACTTATCAGAATAAACAGAAATCCATTCTCTCTCTCTTTCATTTTCGTGCTCTCTATCTCTCCTCCTCCTCTTCCTCCCCCCTCTGACACTCTCCATCTTCTCTATTCTCACTTCTCATCCCCTCTCCCCATCTCCTCCTTCCCCCTTCTTCCTCTACACTTGGAATGAGAGGACACAGCTAGAAAGCAACCATCTGCAAAGCAAGAAGAAAGCCCACACCAGAAACCAAACAGACTGAAACTTTGAGCTTGAGCTTCCCAACCTCTAGATATAGTAAAAGTAGCTCTGCTGTGTAAATACTCAATCTAAAGGGCTGGAGAGATAGCTCAGCAGTTAAGAGCACTGGCTGTTCTTGCAAAGAACCCAGGCTCAGTTCCCAGCACCCATATGGTGGCTAACAACCATCCATAACTCCAGGTCCAGGGTATTTGACACCCTCTCTGACCTTTATAGGCATTGTGTGACCCAGGTGCACTTATATACATGCAGGCAATACACTCAGACACATAAAATAAAAATAATAAAATATTTTTAAAAATAATCTAATGGACTGTGTTATAACCACTAGAGAAAATTAATATTAGTATCTCTCTACTTTTTTGTACTACCACAGGGTATCTAATAATAGGATGAGAAAGCAAATTATCTAGACATTGATAAGACATTTAGATTGCTTACAGTTTTATATTCTTCAAGCAAAATTTTATGCTGCACCCTTTTCCCCTACAATGACTTGAGATGACACCATTATCAAAAATCAAATTCTAGCTGGGCATGGTGGCACATACCTTTAATACTAGTACCCAGGAGGCAGAGGCAGGTGGATGTCTATGAGATGGAGGCTAGCCTGGTTTCCATAGGGAGTTCCAGGCCAGTTGGGACTATAGGGAGACTCTGTCTCAAACACAAAAACAAAACAAACAAAAAAGAAAAAAAAGAAGGAAAAGGAAAAAAAAAAAAAAAACCCCACAAAATTCCCTTATACGTATATCAAGTGCTTCTGAGCTTCAGTTCTGTAGTCCTGACCTTTTTGTCTCTCTTAAGTGAGATGAATGAGATAAAAGACAGACTATTGCTAATTATTAGTGCTGGATAATGGTTCCATCAGAGCTATTTACAATATGCAATTCTAAGAATTCTAAGAATTTCCCAACCCAAAACCAATTACTTTAAACACAATAAAAATTACCCCAACTGGCTGGACATGGTGGTGCATGCCTTTAACCCCAGTACTCAAGAGGCAGAAGCAGAGGCAGGCAGATCTCTGTAAGTTCCAGGCCAGCCTGGTCTACATAGTAAGTTCCAGGCCAGCTGGGGCTACAAGGAGACCCTGTCTCAAAAAGAAAAAGGAAAAAAAATAAAAAATAAAAAAAAAACCAACTGATCATTCAGTAACAATAAAATCCTCTTTGGAGAATCAACTACATATGAAACCAAAAATTTACTGAAACCTCTTTTTGATCCATAGCATTCTATTCCATCTGGAGCTTTACCAAATATACTGAATGTCCCAAGGTAAAAGAGCAAAGTATGTCTTGGTCTCAAAGACGCATTACTGCTGCTATGTAAGCACCAGCATTGGCCTTGTGAATTAAAAAGTTTTCAAATACTATGCACACTGTAAACACTGTGTGCACTGGTATGTAACCACCAGCATCAGCCCTGTGGATGAGAGTGCCACCAAGCACTGTGTGTACAACAACGAAAGACACAGAGCCAAGAGAAACAAAGTACTTACCAGGGAGGAATTCTGCCTGCAGACAGCTTGCCCTTCTGCCCTTCACATAAGAGTCTGTTTGCAACTGAGACTGGATTCTTGATTCCTATAAAATAAAATTGGCATAAAAAGAAATCAGAAATGTCTTCAAGTTTTCCCACTGGGTTTTGTGGCTCTTTCAAAAGACAACTTTAAAATGTCTTGGAAATTCTTCTGTAAAGATATCAAATATACTAATACAAACTGAACATGAACTTGATTTAAACACAAACACAATAAAAATTTATGAGATACCCTAAGGTAATCCTGACCTAAGAATATAGAGCAAATTTTATAAATTATAGACACAGTCCTAATATAGTATACATGCTACATTTAATATGCTCATCACCAATATTCATTCAGGTTTGTGTATGTGTCCTTGTTGCTTATATGCCAAGATCTCACTATGTAGCCCTGGCTGGCCTAGAACTCTCTAGACCAGGCTGGCCTTGAACTCACAGAGATCAATCTGCCTCTGCGTTCCTAGTGCTGGGATTAAAGGACTGACCCACCACACCAGACCTCCTTTAGATTAAAAAAAAAAAAATCTACTGTTAAGACTTAAATCAGTGCTAGGTACAGTGGAGTACACCTATAATACCAGCATCTGAAAGGCAGAGGCAGGGAGCTGGAAAGATGGCTCAGTGGTTACTCTTGCAGAGGACCAGGGTTCCTATCCCACCACACACAACTATCCATAACTCCAATTTCAGGGGATTTGATGCCATTTTCTGTCCTCCATAGGTACTGCACAACACCAGTGCACTCACATACCTGCAGATATAATACTCATAAACATAAAATAAAAATAAATTTTAAATTATTTTTAAAAAGATAGAGACAGGAGGAACTGAAGTTAAACTTAATCCTCAGCTTTATCTTGAATTCAAGGCCAGCCTAGGCTATATGAGACCATGTCTCAAAAAATAAAAAAACTTTAAATAAAAACCATACACACACGTGTGTATACACACACACACACACACACACACACACACACACAGCACATCATGTTACACCAGCAAAGACTGGATTTTAAACACTAAACATTTTAAATAGCTGTCTTTTTAATTAAATTTCACAATAAAATAGGAACTGAAAATGTGGCCTTCTCCTACTAAATTAATCCTCCAAGTACTTACTGATCACAAACCTTTTAAGGACGAGCTATAACAGATCTACAGGAGGTCCAAGGGACTTGCTGCCCACTATGCCTCTTTTTCTCTTTAGGAGACCCTGTCACAAAAGGTTCCTTCTGGGAAAAGTGCCATTGCATCTCCAAAACCCTAGGACCCCGCCCCCCCACCTACTAGGAAAATGAGGCCCCCTCATCCCCTATCCCTGACAACTACAACACCAGGGAAAATTAGGCAGAGCCTGACACTGAATCACATCCACAGTTAATACTCAAGTAAGAAAGTGCACTGTGGACAGAAAAACAACCAGGGTCCTTCCTAAAGTGAGGAGAGCCCAAGCAGCAAAGGCAAATACAAGTATGTCTATACCCCACCCACTCACCCACACCACGGAACACTGAAAACAGGATGTGAAAAGGTGATCGCACCTGTAATTCTAGCACTTAGGATGCTGAGGCAGGAAGATTGCCACAACCCTAGGGCAGCCTGGGATACACAGTGAGTTCCAGACAAAACTGGCCTATGGAATAAGACTGCTTCACAAAAACAAAACAGATGGGAGGGAGGGAGGGAGGGAGGGAGGGAGGAAACCAAGAGCAGATGTTAACTGGGGGCAAGGAAGTGTAAAATTCTAAAAGTAGCAATCCATATTTGGGAGAGCTGATCCCTATGCAGGAGCCTAACCGAGCAGGGACGATATTCTGTAGAAAAGGTATTTTGATAGAGAGAGAGAGAGACTAGCAGTCTTCTTCCTTCCTGCAGAATCAGCTGCAAGGAGGCTAGGGACACAACTCAATCAGGAAAGTGCTTGCCAAGCTAGCCCAATAACCTGAGTTCAATCCCTAGAACCAATATGTGGGGAGGGGAAGGCTTGCATGGTGGCTTGCTCTTATAATCCCACTACTGGGGAGGTCTAGACAAGGAAATCCTGGGGCTCCCTGGCCAACCAGCCTAGGCTACTTGGCAAGTTCCAAATCAGTGGGACTGTCTCAAAAAGAAGGTGGGTGGTACCTAAGTAATGGTACCCAGGGTTGTGCTCTGGCCTCCACAGATACACAAACGTATGTGCACACACATGAACATGAACACACACACACACACACAAATAACATGTATATATACCAACTGATAATATATTATTTACCTAATCACATATTTTCTTAATTTTCGCTCTCATATTTTATTGTGTACTTAATTTTGTTTTAGCTCGTATCATGCTTAATCAGGCTTTCACTACTGCCCTTTCTTTTCTGCACATATTCTATAGTATTTTCTCATACCTCTAACTCTAATACTTTCCCTCTTACTCCTACTTTACTTTTTCTATTTCTTCATTCCCTTTCTCTTTCTACTTATTATTAATACCTTTGGTTTTAAAAAAAAGTCTTTAGCCGGGAGTGGTGGCGCACACCTGTAATCCCAGCACTTGGGAGGCAGAGGCAGGCAGATCTCTGTGAGTTCAAGGCCAGCCTGGTCTACATAGTGAGTTCCAGGACAGCTAGGACTACAGGAAGACCCTGCTTCAAAAAGAGAAAATTTAAAAAATCTTTAAATTAGGGCTGGGGTACAGATCAGCTGGTCAAATGCTTGCCTAGCATTCATGAGATCCTGGGTTCAATCCCCTTCGCCTCATAAACCAGGTATGATGGTACATACCTGTAATGCGAGAACCCAGCAAGTGAAGGCAAAAAAAAATCAGGAATTCAAAGTCATCCTCCACCACGCCAGTATCCTAGCTACTGTTCCAAACCTTATTGAGGATGTAACTGATGTACACAGTGCTTTTTACTTGTTGCAAAATCATTTTTTTCTGTTACTTCTATTTCTTCTTTTAATGGGAATCATATGCCCAAGTAAAAATTATACACAAAGAAGATTCACATAAAATAAGTAAACAAAAACAGAAGAAAAATTAAAAACTAGAAGACATACATGTCAAAACAGACGCACCAACAAGCAAAGAGAATAAGCTGATAACATCAACAACTGAAATCAAAGATAGTGAGAAAGCTAAAACGTTAGAAAAAAGACTTTAGAACCTAAATTTTAAAAAATGTTCAATGAAAAGAAAAATCATTTAAGTAGGCATGACAGTCTACACCTTTAATCCCAGTACTTGGGAAGCAGAGGCAGGCAGTACACAGTGATTTCAAGGTCAGCCTATCTCCAGATCAAGTTCTGGGCACTGTTCAAGTTCAGACACTGTTTTGACATGTA